ATCATACCTGTTATGTCTGTTCCTGAGATCTTTTCCTTTTTTGATGCTAAAGATGGATTTGGTGAACTTCTGGATGTAAAGAACCTGATCCAAAATTGTGTTATGGCATTTCCTCTAATAAATGAGTTGGCTTTTGTTAGACAGTGATACCTATCGCCTTGTTTTGGTAGCTGCCTTTTGGGCATGGATAGGAAATCTGTGGGGGGAAGCAGACAGGCGGCTCTGCGCTGCCCTGGGAAGGTGCGCCGCAGGACCGAGGCAGCCCCACGCCTCGTTCCTGCGGCGCTCCTTCACCACCCCTGAAAGGAGCGCTAAAATAGCACTCCTTTCACAAGTCAGTGAAAGTGCGCCTCAAAAGCGTGAGGCACACTTTCACTGACTTATCCACCGCAGCATGTGCGGACACTGCGGCGGGAGGTTGCCCCCGGAGTGCCGGCCGTGCGGAGGGCCGGCGGCTCCGAGGGCAACCTCAGGAGGAGGAAGGGGAGCTGAGCGTGCGGCTGCTCCTCCTCTTCCCTGCCTCGAGAACAGCTCAATTAGCCGTCTGCCCAAGCCCTGTAATTCTCAGTTTTATTCACACATGTTCCAATAGCCACAGATGAGTTACAGTGGTCCTGCTTACTTCCTTGCTTTCTAGGTTCTTCAGTTCTTTTAAGATCTCCTGAATTTTATTTTTAAGCCACATTTTTCTTTCTTTTTTTTCTTTTAAATAACTAAAAAATACTAATTATTTTGCATTTGGTTAGTCCAGGAGAGTGCTGTTCTGGCAGAGGGGAAAGAGTGGAGTCTTGTCTTTCCCAGCAAAGGCTTTGGAGTTTTTCATCAGAGGTTAGCTTCAGCCTATGCACATATGATTTGGGTTGTTGAAGGTTTAGCAAAGAACTATCCTTTGAGAGTTCCCCTTTGAATGAAAGCATGCCCAGAACCCTCTCTCAATCTCTCTGTCTCTCTCACCTGAATCTTGACTTGACTAAAATAGTTCTTAGAGGAAGCAATGAGTAATTTTCTTCCCACTGGATAATCAACTTGCCCTAAAATTTTCTTCCCACGAGGAATGAAATCTTCAAAAATTATACAATATTCAAAGACTATTCATAGTTTGGGACTTATTCTGTGCAGAATTGGTGTTTGTTTTCATAGGACAGAACAATTTCTACATGAGAAACTACACTTTGTGCATAGAAAATAATATTTCTGCACAAAATTCTGCACAGAAACTGTTGTTTCCTGTGCAGAAAAAATGTTGGGGACCTCTTCTGTTTAAAATTCATCTATTTCTTTTTTTCTTCTTTGTAAATAAAATGCAGGGTTGTTATTTTGTACAACCCCATGGTCTGATGTTGTTCAGTCATATCTGTCCTATTTTTCATCTATTAAATATTAAAATGCATGGGGACAGAGTCTCATTTTCTTACCTTTTGTCATGTTTCCACCATGCATTATTTTCAGTCCTCACCAAAAACATAAATATTATTCATTTTTCAGCTTATATCCAGATTTCTCTTAAATGTGTTTAAAATGTACATATTTTTGTTCTCAGCTTTTCACTATCAACTTTCTAAAGTGATTTTTCCTTATTGAGGTGTTGGGGGGGGGGTCGGGATAGTGAATTTTTTTGGGGAAAAAACTTTCAGTATCGAGAGATTTTTGAGAACCAGTGTGGTGTACTGGTTTGAGAGTTGGACTAGGAGGCCAGAATTGGAATCCCAGCTGAGTTATGTAAACTCACTGGATGACCTTGGACAAGTCACTCTCTCTCAATCTCAGATGAGAATGCAATGGCAAAGCTACTCTGAAGAAACTTTCCAAGAAAACCCTGTGATTAGTTCACCTTAGGATCACCATAAGTCAGAAATGACTTGAAGGTATACTGCAACAACAGCAATTGAGAGGTTTTGCCCTCATTTTAAAAAAATGTACACAATTTATGCACTATTTCAAATATGTTGAATTTATATGCATATTTTTAAATGTAGGCATTTTTAAAATAATTTTTCTAACTTCTTTATCAGATAACTTTCCTAGATGTTCTTCCTAGAAGGAAAGTATCAAAGTATACCTGGGGCCTATGGATTCCCATGAAGGTAGCAAAAATGTTTAGGGGGAAAATCACTACTTACACATTTTTACCAGAGCTGACAATTTCACTGTCATCAAAAATTATTATTTCTATTCAAGAAGCAGTAAGTATTTAAGTATGTGTATATAAAGAATATTGGGATAAATGTGGCTGAAACTATGTTGGACCAGTTTAATGTGAAATAATTGTTAATAATGTTGTTAATAATGACCATTATTAGAATGACCATCTACCAGAATTCATCTTAAATAATGAGAAAATTGAAATAATTTCCTTACTTTGAATCAAATATTGACCAGAATGGAGACTATAGTAAAAAAATAAGACTAGGACTGAGAAGGGGCAACTATGAAAGAACTGGACAAGATCCTAAAGTGCAAAGATATAACTCTGAACATCAAGGTGAGGATAGTTTAGGTCTTTTTATTCCCAATCACTATGTACAAATCTGAGAACTGGACAGTGAAGAAAGATGATCGCAAGAAAATCAACCCATTTGAGATATGGTGCTGGAGAGGAGTGCTGAGGTTACTGTGAGTGGCCAAGAAGATAAACAAATGGGACCTAGAACAGGTCAAGCCAGACCTTACCCTGGGAAATATAATGGCAAAATTGAGACTGTCAAACTCTGACATCATGAGAAGGCATGATTCATTAGAAGAGACAATGATGCTGTGAAAGATAGAGGGCTGTAGAAAGAGAGGAAGACTAGATTCTAGGTGGATAGATCAGGGAGGCCATGCTTTAATTTTGTCATCTTTTGGTTCATCAAATAATCAGGTAACTTTATATTTTGATCTATTTTCCTTGCATATAGATCTTTATAATATTTGTGAAAAATATCAAAAATCTTTTTATGTTGAGTATATATTTCATTGTCTTTTAAAAAGTTTAACTATTTGTCTCTTTTCTTTTTCCTTTAATTTGTATGATAGCCACTTACCTGGTTTATTAAGAGTTTTCAAAACTATACTGTTTAGCCTTTTATAATTTCTTTCCTAATTCATTTACCTTTTTCCAATGATATTTGTTTCTCTAAAAGTTTAAAATGGGCCTGAGCAGAGCAGCTGAGGAAAGAGAATCTAAGAGATGTCTTATCCACAGGGTGTCCATGAGATGAGGTCAACTTAAAGGCAGTTAACAACAACATCAACAACAACATTATTGAAGGGAAGTGCTAGCCATGAAGGGTTATGCTGATACTGTATTGAAGGTAAATTACCAAGGTAAAACAATTTTCTTCTTCTTAAATTTTGACTGAATTCACATGTTTTACCTCTACATCCACCAAAATATTCCTGATGCAAACACATGGAGACTTCTTGAGGAATCCATTGGTCTCTTTCACAAAGAGGCTTGTGGCCTCACTGGAATGGAGACATATTAGATTGCAAAAGAGGTGTCCCTATTGAGATGCAAATGGATTTTAAATTTCCAGGACTTGGAAAATCTCCCTATAGCCACAGGGCAAAAGATATCCTCCCCACCATATACTATCTTAAGTAAAGACTGAAACAACATGTAGGCATCTGACTAACACCTCCAATTGTTTTTCTCCTGTTTGGTTTGTAACATCTTGCCTGATGAAGAAGCCCATTGAGCTTTGAAAGCTTGCAACAAGTATATTGTGCATTTTAGTTGTCCAGTAAAGGTATCACTGATGAATTTTTGTTTAAATTTGCTAAATGGCCAACACAGCTAGCCCTGAATGTTTTCTACATTGAATATAATTCATATTGTTTTTTCTTTGATTGGGTAACCTGTGTTTACAATTTCTGCTATTCTATAATGTTCACTGATCATTTTAACTGAGTACATTGTGTTTTTTTAACACTACAATGGTGTAGAATTTTAAAATATTTACATCAGTGTGATGATAAGTAGCTTTATCCTATACAGGACTCAGGAGCTTAGAATGAGAATCATCTACCTGAAGTCTCATGATATGGCCTATATGCATAAATCTAGTGAGGGACTAACAGCTGATATAGGCTATAGATAGAATATAGACTTAAGGTTACAAATACAAAAAAGGGAAAAAATACAAGCTGAGCATTTGGCAGTTGCTAAGCTATGGGAATTAAAGTCATCTTTTTGCATTAAGGAATAGTAGCCTCACACATATGCCAGACAGAACTGGGCCACAAAGAAGCTACAGAGCTTATGATACAAATATATTCTTTTGGTGCAAACAAATTGACCTTAGCATTTGACCACATAGGGTGGTTAAATGATAAAGATTTTTCAGGATGTTTGTGAAAAGAAAATGATATTAGCTAGAACATATAAAACAAAGCAACTACAAGACAGACTTCAGTACTCATTACTGATGATAAGTAGCCCTAAGTATAATAACAACCAGACATAATTTAGATATTAGCATGATTATTTATTTATTTATTTATTTATTTATTTATTTATTTATGCTTCTTTCATTTCTATACTACCTTTCTCCCAGAGGAGAAAGGCCCAAGGCAGCTCACTGATAAAAAAATGACATAATTTCATGACAGAAAAAGATGGCAGATGACATTATGCCATATTTTTTTGTTAGAGGATAAGAATTGGTTAAAGGTCCAGGATGCAGTGGATATCCTCCTTGGATTCTATGGGCATTAGACCAGACTGAGAACATCCAATGTTAGTACTGAATCTTCAACAACCACAATCTTGTAAGTGTGTCTTATTTGGTATGAATATGAAACATTTGGATCATCATTATTACTTTTTCTTCTTTATTCTAAATAAATATATTTTCATCAAATTGAAACTTGTGTGTGTCTGAATCTTCAGTGGGTAGACTGAGTAATCAGGT